CTTCTCCCACAGAGTCCACAAGTCTGTTCTGTACATCTGTGTCTCTTTTTCTGTTTTGCATGTAGGGTTATCATTACCATCTTTCTAAATTCCATATATAGCCAACATCTTTATCCTTAACATTATCTCAGAATCTAGTGTGTGGTTCCGTTTGCTGTAAAAACAGAAAAAAAAGTTCATCTTATCTTTGGATTCCAAAGGCTGGTGAAATGGAAGAGAGAGGAGAACATTTATAAAGGAGCTTTGGAATGATTATCTTTACACTCCATGTTAGTAAAGGAAGCAATAGCCTCTGTGAAAATTTCTTCCACATGGCCTTAACTAAAAACTGACCATTTATAATACCTCTGTTTTGTAGTTCCTCCTAATTCTTTCTCATCTAAAACACTTCCAATTTAATGATGGGAACAGCATTCTCTTCACAACCACACCCATGCAAAAATAGACTCTTGTCTTTGCTCTCAGTCTCAAACAGAGCCCTCAATCATGGACAGTCCAGGAAGGAGCGATTTCCATTCAGAACTGTACTTATGAGAAGAGTGAATTTGACTACTTCCCTTGGTATCAGCAATACCCTGGTAAAGGCCCTGCATTCTTGATAGCCATCCATTTGGTCATGAATAAAAAGGAAGATTAACAGTTTTCCTCAGTACAGTGCCAAACAGCTCTCACGGCTCATCACAGCTTCCCAGCCTGGAGACTCAGCACCGACTTCTGCAGCAAGTGCAGAGTGCTCCCCGAGCACCTGCAGCCTGGACCCAGATCTGCAGCCGAGGCCCCAGACACACCCTGTTGTGTAGATTAAATACACACGCACACACACAATTTGTTTGTGCATAAGAAGGCTTAATATATTTAAGAAAATTGAAGTTATACAGAATGTATTCTTTGATCAGCAGTGAAATTGACTTAGAAAATCAATAGCAAAAAATATCTTTAGAAACTCTCAAATATTTGGAATTTAGGCAGTAAGTTTTAAAGTAACCTATAGGTTAAAGAAATAATTACTTGTCTGTTAGAAAGTATTTTGAAAGAAAATATAGTGAGAACATATATACATATACATATTATGAGATAAGGTAATATCTTATAATATAATATCTCATAATAGATCCTGGTAAAGAATCTGCCTGCAATGCAGGAGACCTGGTTTCAATCCCTGGGTTGGGAAGATCCCCTGGAGAAAGGAAAGGCTACCCGCTCCAGTACTCTGTCCTCGAGAATTCCATGAACTGTATAGGCCATGGGGTCTCAAAGAGTCACACAAGATTAAGCTACTTTCACTTTCAATTTCATAGGTAATATTTTACATAGGAAGAGTTCATCTTTTTAAATACTTCTATTTCTAAAGAAAAATGCTGCAAAACAATTATCTAAGCTTTCAAAAAAAAAGATAGAAGAACAAATTACAACTAATATAAACTGATATAAGAAAATAATAAAAATGTCAAGTTGGTAAAACAGAAGGAAAATGATAGAAATACTCAAGAGATACAAAGTTAAGTTTGCTAAAATGATTAGTAAACTATATATACCTAGACAGAATTAGCATGGCTAATAAAAAGAGAAAACACAAATTAGAAATATAAAGAATGAAAAAGTAAAATATTGTACAGATGTTACAATCTTAAAAAGATAGAGTCCCTCTGCTGTCTACCTGAAACTATCACAGCATTGTGAATTGGCTATACTCCAATACAAGATAAAAGTTCAATAAAAATGAATAAAAAGGGAAAATAAAAAATTCTTAACAAGATAATGCTACTGACTCATCCCAAGTGGAGATGTGGGAAAGTGGAGAAATTTGATTTTTTGGCAAGGGTGCAATGACAATTCAATGCAGTAGTGATAGTCATATGAACAAATAATTTAGGGACAATTGGATATTCCTAGGCAAATTAGTGAATCTTGGCCTAAATCTCACACCTTATACAAAAATTTGAGGAGAATCTCAAAATGGACTGTATATCCAAGTGTAAAATCTAAAACTCTAAATCTTTTTGAAAAAAAAATCTTCAGGACCAAGTGTTAGACAAAATGATTTTTGTCATGACATTAAAGCACAATCAATAAAAAATAAAATATTTCATCAAAAGTAAAAATGCTTGCTCTGTGAAAGATACTATTAAGAGAATGTAAAGGACAAACCACAGAATGGCAGGAAATATTTTCACAATGTATTTTCATCAAAGGATGGTGTTCAGAAAACAATGAACTGTCTAATCTCAGTAGGAAGAAAACAAGTAGTCCAATTGGAAAATGGGTCATCCAAACATCATGGAAGAGCTATGTGTTAGGAATATAAGCATATAAACAGATGTTCAACATCATTAACCACCAAGGAAATGCAAATTAAAGCCACAATGAGATACCATTCCACATCTTGCTTAATGGCTAAGATGAAAATTACTCATGATAACCAAGTTCTGGCAATGATGTAGAGAAGCTGGACCACTCATACATTTTTGGTGGGTAAATGGTACAGTCATTCTGGAAGACAGTTAGCAGTTCCACATAAACTTAAATATTCACTCACCTTACAACTCAGCAATCACACTCTTTTATGGACATTTGAGTTTCTTACTTAGTAATTTCCAGGTATATGAAGCTGATCAATTATCTGGTCCTGTGCTCATTTTGCAGATTTCCAAATAACCCACCAATTTAATGATCAATTATCTGGTCCTGTGCTCATTTTGCAGATTTCCAAATAACCCACCAATTTAATATCATATTGGGCTTCTGTGATGGTCAGATGGTAAAGAATCTGCCCACAATGCAAGAGAGCTCTGTCTGATTCCTGGGTCAGGAAGATACCCTGGAGAAGGGAATGGCTACCATTCCAGTATTCTTGCCTGGATAATTCCATGGGCAGAGGAGCCTGGTGGGCTATAGTCCATGGGGTCACAAAGAGTTGGATATGACTTAGCGACTGAACAACAATAACATATATATGTATGGGTGTGTGTACACACACATACAATTAGATTGCTTCCTGCTCATCTTTGGATAATGAGGACCCATTAGAAATTGTAAACATCAAAATTTATATTAAGACTAACAAGGCAATGTACAATTTTTCCCTGAGTTACGTCTAGTTTTCTCATCCACCCTTTTCTGCCACATACTTTAGATGTACATCAGCCACTTTAAAATAAAACTATTTATACTGATATTAAGCTCTTTCCTTAATCTGAATCTTTGCAGATGCTGTCCTCTTTGGTAAGAATGGTTTTTCCCAATTACTTGTTCAAAACACATATATGTACTCAATCTTTACAGCTCAGTTCAAGCAACATTATTTCTTATATGAAATCTTAGAGGATAATATTGCTAACTTTTAATTATAAATATTCTTGGATCTCGTCCCCTCTTAAGATGGTTTGACAGAATATTTGCTACTGAGGGCCGTCTTATATTTATATTCATTCAAACTGTTTCCTATGAGGCATGAAGAGATTCCTTTTAGACCACAAACCAAAGCATGGTCAGGTTCCCTTCTTTTCATTTAGCAAATATCTCCCTCACAGCACAAGCCCTGGAGATAGGCTGCAGCAAATATGATGCTGTGAGTTGGGAAAGCGTGGCCTTCTCCAGGGGGTGACTGTTCTGTCCTGGTTTATATCCTTCTGTGTAAACTGCAGCAGGGCTCCTGATCTGCATGAAGACCAGGGAACTTTTAAAGCACCTCCAAGTGCTGCTCCAGACCCCTCGCATGTTTAGGGTGAGAGTGGAGCCTTCACCAACATAACGTTGCTAGATTTGTCTTCATTTGGAGGTTCAAATCCAACATGCCTGAAAAGGAAAAGTTATCCCAATGATGTGCATTTCAAAGAGCTTTGTTAACTCACGAGCTTTTCCTTTTCCATTTCATCCTAAACCTGCTTCTCTTTCTGTTTCTATATATTAAGTAATTCAGATTCAGATTTACTTTTGACTTTAAAGAAGTTTTGAGATTTCTACTGTTTGTATAATTACATGGCAACACTTCAAAGACGTTAAGGATCCTATAGTGAGTTGGAGGGCGGGTCCCGAAAGATACATTCACATCCTAACCCATAGAAATTGTGAATGTGAACTTATTTAACAAAGAACCTTTTCAAATGGAATTAAGCAAAGGATGTCAAAATCCAATCATACTGGATTATATTGGTGGGGCCTTAATCCAGTGACAAATGTCCTTTTAAGAGACACACAGGTGAGAAGGCCTCGTGAGGTCTTTTTGATGGAGGAGGAGGCTGGAGGTGTACAGTCACTAGCAAAGGAGCACCTGGAGCCACCAGAAGCCAGAAGAGGCAGGAAGGAGTCTCTCCAGGAACATTTGGAAGGAGTATGTTCCTGCTGACACCTTGTTGTCAGACTTCTGCCCTCCAGGTTGCAGGGAACTGATTCTTGTTTTTTGGAGCCATCAAATTTGTGATGATTTGTTATGGGAGAACTAGGGCTACTGGGGCTAACACAGTTTTCAAAAAGGCAGCATCTGCAAACATAGACACTCCATGGGGAAGATGGGTGGATAATAAGGTAGTAAGTCTGATTGGCTGTCAAATTGTAGTCACTCCTTTCTATTTGCTTTCCAAAGGCAGTATAGACCAGGTTTCTATAGGTCTGGAAGAAGCTGATACAAGGGAAACCCTTTCAGGAGCAGGCAGATGCAGCAACTGTTTCTGAAGAAGAAGAAAAGGGAGATGCTACTGTTAGCACTAGGGTTGATTTATGGGTGCAAATATCATGTGAGTTTGGGGTTTCCCTGATTGCTCCCAGAATATTCAGCACAGAGGAATCTTATCTGCAGGCAACTGTAGGAGTGGGATTTTCTGACTGAGAGCAGGATGTTGAGAAAAACATAAAAACTAAAATGTGGGAGAAAGAGGGAGTTGGGGAGAGAAACATGGAAAGAAGGAGAAAATACACAAGAAAAATGAGAGACCATGACAGCTGAGAGAATAAACATCTAATCAGACTTTCTCTGTTACGTCTCACTGTTTTTCTGAAGAGCAATGAGTAAACAACAGATAAAGCATTTTCCTGAATTCTTGCTTCTGCAAGAAGGAGAGAACTTCACCACATACTGCAATTCCTCAAGCACACCTTGCAGTTTACAGTGGTTTCAGCAGAGGCCTGGGGGAAGTCCTGTCCTCTTGATGATATTAGCTAAGGGTGGAGAAGTGAAGACGGAGCAGAGACGGACAGATCGGCATGGAGAGTCCAGACAGCACAGCTCCCTGCGCCTCGTGGCTGCCCAGCTCTCAGACGTAGGAACCTACTTCTGGGCAAGGGGACAGTGCTCTGGAAGCACCTGCTGTCTGTCCCCAAACCTCACTGTGGGCTCCGGGGTCGCTCCTCCTCATCTCTCCTCAGAGCAGACAAAGCTGAAGTCATGATGTCTATGAAGAAATTGAAGTTTTAATTAAAAAAAAAAATCACCAGACTCAGTGTCACTGAAGAATTCTGTCAAACACTGACTTGTATACAATTTCTTTCAGAAAATAGAAAGAAAATAATTCTTCACTCATTTTATGAGGCTAATATTACCCTGATACCTAAATCAGACAAAGACCATAAAGAACCAAAAACTACATGGAAATATCTTTTATCTTGAAGATAGACACAACATTTCTGAAAATATTTTAGCAAGTAAAATTCATTGATATATAAAATGAATAATATACCGAGAACAAATGTAATTTCTTTCAAGGGTGCAAGACACTTTAATATTGAAAATCAATGGATGGAATTCACCATATGAACAGGGTAGAAAAGAAAAATCATATCATCATATTAACCTAGTCAGAAAAAAAGGATTTGTAAAAATTCAGTAGTCAGTTATGGTGGAAACTCTGAGCAACACAAGAATACTGGGGAATTTCCTCAATACCTAATGGTACTATTACTAGTAAAAGACTATGATTTTCTCTAAGAAAGAGAACAAAACCACAGTGTTCTTTCTCATCACTCTTTCCGTACGGTGCTAGATGTTGGAGTCAGTGCAATAAAGAAAGTAGATGTAACAATCTTATAGAGTTGAAAAAAAGAGTGAAACTGCCACTATTTGCTGGTAACATGATTATCTATGTAGAAAATCCAAAGAATATACCCCTAAAATTATATTAAGGAAATCCAAATTAAAATTACAAAGAGAAACCACTTCATATCTATCATAAGGGCCAAAATTAAAATTACTGACAATACTAAGTTCTGGCAAGGAAGCAGAGAAATTGGATCACTCATACATTGCTGGTGGGTGAATGGCCCAGTCATTCTAGAAAACAATCCAAGAGTTTTACATAAACTTAAATATTCACTTACTGAACAACCCAGCAAACACACTCCTGGGTATTTATGCTTGAGAAATGAAAACTTTATGTTCACCAAAAAATATGTACATTAGTACTGGAAATTAACCAGTGATCTTCACTGAATGAACAGATAAATATCCTATAGTGCATTCACACAATGAAATACTATTTATACATCTTTCTCAACTTCAATAGGGTTATTTTGCAATAAATCATTTTAAGTTGAAACAATAGTAAGTCAAAAGTTCATTTAATATGGGAAGGAAATCTAAAAAAGAGTGGAGATAAGTATAACGTGTAACTGATTCTCTTGGCTGCACTGCAGAAAGCAACATTGCAAAGAAACTATACTTCAATAAAAATAGATTAAAATTAAAAAAAAAAGAAAGCCCACCTAATATATTTAACCTAGCTTCCCTTGAAAGTGAAAGTCGCTCAGTCATGTCCGACTCCTTGAGACCCCATGGACTGTCCATGGAATTCTCCAGGCCAGACTACTGGAGTGGGTAGCCTTCCCCTTCTCCAGGGCATCTTCCCAATTCAGGGATCAGACACAGATCTCCTGCATTGCAGGCGGATTCTTTACCAGCTGAGCCACAAGGGAAACCTCAGAATACTGGAGTGGGTAGCCTATCCCTTCTCCAGAGGAACTTCCCAACCCAGGAATCAAATCAGGGTCTACTGCATTGCAGCAAATTCTTTACCAATTCACCTATCAGGGAAGTGGTAGCTTCCCTTAAATGTGGCCAACACTTACATTAGCCTACAGTTGGGAAAAAATTGTCTCATACAGTCTATTTTATACTAAAATGATGAAAATCTTATGAATGTGTTGAGTACTATACTGAAAGTGAAAATTAAAATGGTTATATGGGTATGAAATGGCTGTAAATGTGTCGGTTGTTTACACTCATGATTTTGAGGCTGGCCAGGAGCTCAGCTCACTGCTGCTGCCCAGAATCACCAGGAAATATCATACTGCATGTTGCTAGCCCAGGAAAAGATAAAATTTCAGTATTCCAAGCATGGTTTCTACTGAATGCATACCACTTTTTCACTACTGTAAAGTCAAAAATCTTAAATTGAATTATCCTAATTAAGTTGGGGACAGTCTGTAGTGATTAAAAGGAAAAGATTATTGATATATGCAGTAGTCTAGATGGATCTCAGGATGTTATGCTGAGTAAAATAAAATCAGTCTCAGAGGCTATATGGTGTATGGTTACATTTACTGGATTATTATGATTGCATACATAGTGTGATTCTACAACATTCTCAACAGGACAAAATACAGAGATGAAAGGAGATCAGTAGTGACCTGGATTGTAAGCCTCGGGAGGGTGTGCAAAGAGGGTTTCTTTAGAGAGATGGAAAAATTCTAAGCTGTGATTTTAATGGTGGTAACAGGAGCCTATACATGTGATAAAGTTTCACAGAGCTATGCATCAAAACCAAACAGTACATGTAAAACTGAGGTACCAGATCATGATCTGTATTTTAATAAAATTTTAGCAATATCAATTTCCTGGTATGTATATGTAATTATTATATTAGGATATATATTTTAGAATATCAAGCTGCTCCCCAGGCTGTCGTGGGCCTTTGTGGTCTCTTCTGCCTAGTTACAAATAATTGGAAACCAGAACATCAGCAGTTTTCAAGGGTTGCAGAGGTGGGGATGGTTGGCAAAGCAACCTAAAGTTCTTTAGGGTGATAGGATGGCTCTGTATATTAATTTTAGTGGTGGTAATAAGAATTTACAAGTGTGATCAATTTCACAACTATGCATAAAAAGGTGGATAAAAATGTGATAAATATAATATACTGATACATATAATATGTGTATTATCTTGTTATGTTCCCCAGACTAAGAGGGTTTCTTTAGAGAGATGGAACAATTCTATGTTGTGATTTTAATGGTGGTAACAGGAGCCTATATATGTGATAAAGTTTCACAGAGCTATGCATCAAATCCAGAGTGCATATAAAACAAAATTTTAGCAATATCAATTTCCTGGTATGTATATGTAATTATTATATTAGCATATATATTTTAGAATATCAAGCTGCTCCCCAGGCTGTTGTGGGCCTTTGTGGTCTCTTCTGCCTAGTTACAAATAATTGGAAACCAAGGCATCAGCAGTTTTCAAGGGTTGCAGCAGTGGGGATGGTTGGCAAAGCAACCTAAAGCTCTTTAGGGTGATAGAATGGTTCTGTATCTTAATTTTAGTGTAGTAATAAGAATTTACAGATGTGATCAACTTCACAACTATGCATAAGAAGGTGGATATAAAAACATGTGATAAATATAATATATTGATACATATAATATATGTATTATCTTGGTGTTCCCCAGAATGCTCTGAGCGTTTGTGGTCTCCCCTGCTTCCTTGTAAATAATTAGAAACCAGGACATCAGCTGCCTGTCACTCAGAGTTCAAATGGGACAGAAGAAGAGATGGTTCAACCTCGTATAAACTCTCCTCCCTGCATCACTCATTAATGAGTTCTTTTGACCTTAAATTCTAAGAACTGGCACTGTTTTGGAGACTGTGTCTATACTTCCTTTTCTACTTGTTTGTTTGCTTTTGGTTCTTTTAAATTAATTCATCTATTAAAATGATGAAACCAAGTGGAAGATTGAGAGATACGTACTTCATGATCATGTACAGTATACAAAACTTCAATCATCAAGTTCTGTGGTATTGACATATACTAAGTGTTTGAACAGGACTGGAAAAGGTCAGTTTTCATTCCAGTCCCAAGAAGGGCAATACCAAAGATTGTTCAAATTATTATGTGGTTGTGCTCATTTCACATGCTAGTAAGATTATGCTTAAAATCCTTCAACTAGCCTTCAGCAGTATGGGAACCAAGAACTTCCAGATGTACAAACTGGGTTTCAAGGAGGCAGAGGAGCCAGAGATCAAATTGCCAGCATTCGTGGGATCATGGAGAAAGCAAAGGAATTCCAGAACAACATCTACTTCTGCTTCATTGACTACACTAAAAACTTTGTGTGGATAACAACAAACTAGAAAATTCTTAAGGAGATGGAAATACCAACCCACCTTACTTGCCTCCTGAGAAACCTGTATGCAGGTCAAGAGTAACAGTTAGAACCAAACATGGAACAACCAACTGGTTCCAAATTGGAAAAGGAGTACATCAAGGCTGTATTGCCAGTCCTCTTATTTAACTTATATGCAGAGTATAACATGCGAAATGTCGGGCTGGATGAATCACAAACTGGAATCAAGATTGCTGGGAGAAATATAAAAAAAACCTCAGATATACAGATGATACCACTCTAATGGGAGAAAGTGAAGAGGAACTTAAGGGCTTCAGTGTGAAAGAGAAGAGTGAAAAAACTGGCTTGAAACTCAACATTCAAAAAATCTAAGATCATGGCATCTGGTCCCATCACTTTATGGCAAAGAGAAGGGGAAAAAGTAGAAGTAGTGACAGATTTAATTTTCATGGGCTCCAAAATCCCTATGGATGGTGACTGAAGCCATGAAATTAAAAGATGCTTGCTCCTTGGAAGAGAAGATATGACAAACCTGCAGGTGAGCTAAGTTGCTTCAGTCGTGTCCGGCTCTGCATCCCTGTGAACCATAGCCCTCCAAGCGCCTCTGTTCATGAGATTTCCCAGGGAAGAATATGGAGTGGGTTGCCATGCCCTCCTCCAGGTGATCTTCCTGACCCAGGGATCGAACCCACATCTCTTATGTCTCCTGCATTTGCAGGCGGGTTCTTAAACACCTGTGCCTCCTGGGAAGCTTAAGATGGCATATTAAAAAGCAGACACATCACTTTGCCGACAAAGGTCTGTATCATCAAAGCTATGGTTTTTCCAATTGTCATGTGTGGTGTGAGAGTTGGACCATAAATAAGGTTGAATGCTGAACAAGTGATGCTTTTGAATTGTGGTGCTGGAGAAAGCTCTTGAGAGTCCCTTGGACTGCAAGGAGGACAAACCAGTCAGTCCTAATTGAAATCCATTTTGAATATTCACCTGAAGGACTGATGCTGAAGCTGAAGCCCCAATACTTTGGCCACCTGATGTGAAGATCTGACTCTTT